GACCAGCCTGGGCGAAGATCATCTTACCAAAATAGAAATAGTATATATTGACCAACGTAAAAATATATATAGCAAAAAATTAGCCAGGCATGGTGGCACAATTTTGGCTGCTGTTCTAGCTCCCACCTGACTGATCGGCAAAGAGAAGCTGAGGCAGTAGGACTCGCTGCAGTCCCCGGTATAGATTTGAGGTTGGCTGTGAGCCAGGCTGGGAGCCACGGCACTCAACTCTAGCCTGGGCAACGAAATGTGAGACTCTGTCTCAAAAAAAAAGGGTAAAGAGAGGCTTGGCGGCAGCGGTGGTCACGCCTGTAATCCTAGCTCTCTGGTTTTAGGCCGAGGCGGGGGTGGAGAGAATTTGCTCGAACTGACGCACAAGCAGGGGATCATGGAGTTCGAAAAACCAGCTGAGCAAGAAAGCGATGACCCCTCATTTGTTAGGTATTGTAAATAGAAAGAAATATCGAATGAGCCAATCTAAGTTGTAACTAATACTATAAAATAAATTTTGTCGACGAGGCTGTGCGCTAATGCCTTGCGGTTAGCAAACAAGCAGTAAACAGAAGCTGGAAGGTGTCCATTGTCCTTATAGCCCAGTATCTTACAATACATCAAAAGACCACATGTAACCACAATCCAGACCAAAATATTGAACATTTTCAGCAGCCTAGAAGATTCTACCATGCTTCCTCCTAGCCACAAACCTCCCCACACCCAAACGTAATGATGATGTTGACTCCACCCTCATGGATTGTTGTGCCTGTTCCTAAACTCTGTCAGTGGCACAGTATAACATGTACCTTCTTGTATCTTTTCCGTGTGAGACTCACCCATGTTGTCACATGCAGCTGTAGTTTGTTCCTTTTCCTTGCTGTGCAGTGTTCCATTCCTTGCAAATGTTACCACTGATGTTTCCATTCTTTTGCTTTGGTCGTTACAAAGTGTGTCATTTTGTGGGGATGTGCGCTTTTTTAAACAAATAGGCTTCATTTACGTAGAGCAGTTATAGGTTCACAGCAAAATTGAGCTGTGTGAGAGTCCAGAGCTCCCACATCCCTCTTCCCCCACAAACACACAGCCTCCCCCACTACCCACATCTCCCACCAGAGAGGTACGTTTGTTCCACTCAAGCAACCTGCACTGACACATCATTGCCAGCCACACTGACTCCTGTGTCATTAGGGAATGCTCTTGCTAAATCCCTGATAACTGTTCTTGCTCTGAACTCTGCGGTGATCCCTGCTTTCTTTTGATGAGTGTTAACGTGATGTATTCTTCTCCATCCATTTACTTTTCATGTGATGTGCCTTCGTATTTAAAGTGGGTTTCTGGTAGACAACCTGCAGTCAGGTCTTGTTTTTTGATGCAGTCTGACAATCTTTGTCCTTTGTCCTACCATTGACATTTAAAGTAATCATTGATAGAGTTGGATTAATATCTGCTACATTCATTGCTGTTTTCATTGCCCTGGTTTTTTGTTTTTATTTCTGAATTCACTTCCTTTTCTGCCTTTTGAAGTTTTAATTAATCATTCTATATGATTTCATTTTTTCTCCTTTATTTTAAAATACTTCTTTTTTTAAACTTTTTAAAAATTGTTTCCCTAGAGTTTGCAACTAATCCAAGTCGACCTTCAAATAACACTGTACCTGTTCATGGATGGTATAAATACCTTATAATAAAAAGATTCCTATTTCTTTCTTCCTGTCCCTTGTATCATTGTTGTCATTCATTTCATATAGACATCACACACACACACACTTACAGTGAATGCATGTTTCTACGATTATCTTGAAGAAATGTATCTGTTAGATCAATCAAGAATAAGAAAAATAAATGTTTTTATTTTTCCTGTACTTATCCCTTCTCCAATGCTCTTCTTTTCTTTTTTAGGTCCCAGTCTCTGCCCCATGTCATGTTCCTTCTCTCTGAAGAATTTCTATTAACATTTCTTGCTAGGCAGGTCCACTGGCAATAAATTCTCTCCATTTTTCTTTGTTTGAGAAAGTATTTGTTTCTACTTCACTTTTAGGAATAATTGTGCAGAGAATAGAGTTCCAGATTGGTGGCCAATTTCTCTCAACACATCCAATATTTCACTGTACTGTCTTTTTCCTTGCATGGTTTCTGAGGAGAAAATCTGGCATAATTCTTATCCTTGTTCATCTATAGATAAGAGTTTCTACCTCCCACACCCTTGGCTTCTTTCAAAATATTTTTCTTTATCTTTCATTTTCTTTTTTTTCTCGTTTCTGTTTTTGGGACAGAGTCTTGCTCTGTCACCCAGGCTAGAGTGCCATGATGTCAGCCTAGCTCATGGCAACCTCAAAAAACACCTGGGCTCCATTATCCGAAGTGAGGTCACACGATATGTGAAGAATAGGTTCCACTTGTACTCACCATCAAATTTGTACTGACTGATTAACACTATGGTGCTCACATGGTAGTAATATTCTCCAGGGGTGGAGGATTGGGGGGTAAAGTCACAACTAAAGGACACGGTGAGCATTGTAGAGGAGAAGGGCATGCCTCTAACCCCCACTAGGGAAAGGCAATGATACAAAACCTAACCTAAATGTTTGTACCCTCATAATACCCTGAAATAAAAAAAAACTGGGCTCAAACAATCCTCCTGTCTCAGCCTCCCTAGTAGCTGAGACTACAGGTGTGAGCCACCACACCTGACTAACTTTTTACTATTTTTAGTAGAGACAGTGTCTTGCTCTTGGCTCAGGCTGATCTCAAACTCCTGAGCTCAATAGATCCTCTGACCTTGGCCTCTCAATGTGCTAGGGTTACAAGCATGAGCTACCACACCGAGCCTTCATCTTTGATTTTCTGCATTTTGAATAGGAAAAGCCTGGGGGTATGCATATGTGTGTGTTGTTTTTGTTTTTACATTTTTCCTGCTGAGTGTTCCCTGAGTTTTTCTGGATCTCTGGTTTGGTGCCTGACATTAATTTTGAAAATTCTCAGTCGTTATTGCTTCCAGAATTTCTTCAGTTCCTTTCCTTCTTCTCTTTCTTGTATTCCCATTATATGTATGTTACAGCTTTCATAGATGACCCACAGTTCCTGGATTTTCTGTTCTACTTTTTTTGGCCAATCCTCTTCCATTTCAGTTTTGGAAGTTTCTGCTGGTGTATCCTCAAGCCCAGAGATTCTTTCCTTACTTATGGCCAGTCTAGGAATGAGCTCATCCAAGGCATCCTTCACTACTGTTACTCTGTTTTGATCTCTAGCATTTCTTTTTTATTCTTTCTTACAAATTCCATCTTTCTTCCATTACACAGCTGTTCTTGTATGCTGTTGGCCTTTCTCAATAGAGCCCTTAGCATATTTATCGTAATAGTTTAAATTTCAAGTCTGATAATTCCAACACTTGATGTATTATTTGAAATTGTGATTTGATTTGATTTTACTTTTTGCCTTTTATGATGCCTTATAATTTTGGTTGAAAGCCAGACATGATGTCCTGGGTCAAAGGAACTCCAGTAAATGGGCCTTTAGTGGTGTGACCATATGGTGATGGGGGAGGGGAGGGACTCTGTAGTTCCACAGTAGGTCTCAGTGTCTTGGGGAACCTGTGCCCCTGAGCTGTGACCTTCCCATATGCTGCTCAGTCTCCTCCCAGCCCCCTCACGTGGAACAGGATGGAGAGAGTGGGCTGGAGTTGGGACTTTCTCTTCCCCTAGGACATTCAGGCTCTGACAAAGCCCAGTGGGTCGGGCCCTGGTTAAATAGTTTCTAATGAGCGGCCTCGTGAGGAAGGACAGAGCGCTCTGGCTTATTTCCCTTCCCCCTGTGAGGGGCACCAGGAGGATTTTTCTCCAATTTTTCTCCCTGTACAAACCTGGTAAGACTCCTAGAGGTAAACTTACAAAAGAGTGGGTTCCTCTCTGACTGGGCCTCCTTGGAGTGTGGAACTCTCAGACTTGTCCACACGGAGCCTCCAGCGATGTGTCAGCTGCAGGTTGGGTTTTCCTGACCCAGTCCTGGTTCCTGGGGAGGTGTCTGCTCTTCGGTCTATTCTGGGATCTTGTGATCTCTGCATTTGCCTGTCTGTCTCCAATTTTTGGGTCAATACTTTGCCCTGTCACCTCACTTCTCTGCCCGGTCCAAGAACAGTTGCTGGTTTTTGTTTGTTCCACTTTTGACTCTTCCTTAGATAGAGTGACGACTCTCAAGCTCCTTGGACTGGAAACTGGAATATGCACTTATTTTGCTACCTAGGGATGAGACTGTGTGATCATGAGGTGTGTGTATATTTTTACAGTGCTGCCAAAGAATTTTCCAAAGTGGTTGTGCCACTTCACATTCAATAGTGTGTAAGAGTTCCAGTTCCTCCACATCCTCACTAGCTCCTGGAACTGCTAGATTTTAATTTGAGCCACTCTGTTGCGTTGTGATGGTGTCTCATTGTGTGTCTGACTAATGAGGTTGAGCACATTTTCATTCCATGCTGTATTTAACTTCTCTTTAAGCCCCTTCACTTTGGACTTACTTACTCGAGACTCTTCTTGCTTTCTGAGGTTAGGTCTATTGGTATTTAGCTTACATTTCCCCTTTACCTTACGCCTGCTACTCTTTGCCTGCTCTGCCCACTGAATCCTGCCCCAGCTTCTGGGGAACTCAGGCCTCTCTGTGTTCCTATTCCTGTGAGAGTAATTAAGAAGGTACCAAATCCCAACTCTCTCTTCCTATAATAACTGACACCCTCTCACCTCCCAGGAAAGCTCCTTGGATTCCCATGTGAATGAACCCTTAGGAGCTCAGCTGAGTCTCCTGAGAAGTCTGATTATGACCAGAGCTCATGCTGAGTTCAGCACCATCTCATGCTCTGCTTGCTAAATCAAGACACAAAGAATTTCAAATTGTGATTCTGTGGATTTTTATTGAACAAATAGTACTAGAGATAGAAACTGACTCCTCTTTGTCATGGCTATGGGTTTCTTCTGAAACACAGTCAGAATTTGCACTTCACAAATATCCCAAACCCTTATGTAGCTATTGAGTGACTCTCATCAACACCTGACATAGGGAGCTGGTTTTCGTGAAGCTACAGCTTGATTAAGGCCTTTAGATAATCAAAATTGTCACGTACCTTTCTGGTAATAAAAATCTATGTCTTAACTCCAACAGAAACACTCATCTCTACAGACAGTCATGGAAAATAAACAACCTACTACTGAAGGATTATGGGTTCAAGGAGGAAATTAAGATGGAAATCAAAACATTCTTTGAATTAAATGAAAGAGGTGACATAAGTCATCGAAAGCTGTAGGACACAGCTAAAGCAGTCCTGAGAGGAAAACATGTAGTGATAAATTCCTACATCCAAAATGCAGAAAGATCACAAATAAATAATCTAATGAATTATCTCAAAGAACTGGAAAAAGATGAGCAAACCAGTCCTAAACCCAGTAGAAGAAAATAAATAACAAATAGAAGTGTGTCTGCAGGAACATCAGTGGACACAGGAGGTCCTCTGAAAGCAGCTCATAGTAAAGGAACCAGCGCCTCTTACAGCTGAGGGAGAAGAGGTTCCAAAGTCCTGACTTCAAGTCCCAAGTCTGCTACATCCTAGCTGGGTCTCCCTGAGGATATCACTCAGAGTCTCTGAGCCAGATTCTTCAACAAGCAAACTGGATATTAAGAACAACCACAGAAACCATCTCAGGGCTGCTGTGGGGCTACCTGAGGCAGAGGATGTGAGGTACTTGACTCACAGAGAATGCCAGTTGGCTTGGGGACCCAGAGAGTGAAGCTGGGTCTCCCTTACAGTCAACTAGCTAGCCGTATGGTCAACTCTCAGATCAGATCATGCAGCTATGGAGTGGACTTCCCTAGAGGTAGTGAGCTCTCTATCACCAGAGGTATTCAAGCCAGATTTAGATCTGTAACCTCTAAACCAGGAGCCACCAGCCACATGAGTGCTTGGAATGCTGCTAGTCTCAACTGCGACTATGTAAATGTAAATGTAAATGTAAATCTAATGCCAGATTTCAAAAATTTATTAGAGAAAAAAATGTAAAATATCTCAGTATTTTATATTGACTACATATTTAAATGATACTATTTGGGATAAATGCAATTAAATAATATATTAATTTTTACCTTTTTGATGTGGCAACTTGGAATGTCATATTACATGTGTGGCTTGTATTATACAATAAATATTTCAATTGCACAGCACCGGTCAGAGTCCGGGGTGCTCAAGGTGTGTTTCCTGGAGCGGCAACATCTGCATCACCTGGGAACTGACTGGAATTGCAGACTCTGAGGTGCCGCCACAGCCCCACACACGGAATCGGAAGCTGCATTTCCACACACTCCCCATGGGATTCATGTACACACTAAAGTTTGAGAAGCCCGGCAGAGACCTTGGCTGGAGGTCTCAGAGGGGTCCCCATCTTCGCACAGAGGGGGTGGGAACACCTGGCCTGAAGCTCAGCCCGAATCATGTGACCAGTCCTCTCTCCTGAGAGATGGCTGGGTGGAGCTCCTAGGCCAGGCCAGCAAAGGTGCAGTTGCTGGCCACTGTGATGCTTTGGGATGGACACACCACAAAAAGTCAAGCCCCATTAGCTGATTCCATCAGAGTGAACCTCAGGATATTTGCACATGGTGCCGAGGAAAGGCCAAGACTCTTTCTGGGGTAACTTGAACCTGGAAATAGCCCTGGACCTGCAGCGGCCATCCTGCTGCCCTAAAAGGTGCCCTGGGGTTGCTGGAACCCAACACTGCCTCTGGTCCGGAACATCCTCTGGCTTCCCGGTGCCTCAGGCCTCCATAAAGTCCCCCTTTTCTGACACAGCTTGAGCTGGATGTCAGTTTGTAGCACCCAAGGGGTTCCTGCCCACTGCACGCCCATGGCCGCCTACTCAGATCTACGCAAGAAAACCAGAACACTCAGAGGGGAGACAGGGCTGCCAAGCACAGGCAGAGCTGGGGACCTGACTGGAGGGTGAGGCAGGGGTTCAGGCTGAGCCTTTAGGTCTCTGCATGGGCTGGAGAGCCCTTCCTCCTCAGTCCCATAGCCTTAGCTGCTCTCACAGGTGCTCTGACTAAAAGACTACATTTCCCAGCATGCCCTGCAGGTATATGCGGCCATATGACTAAGCTCTGGCCAATGAGATGTAAGCAGAAGTGTGCGGTAGAGCTTCTGGGAGTCTCCTCAAGGGCAGGTGGTGGGTCCTGTTGGTCAAAGTCAGGACTTGAGGGCCAGAGCTCCAGAAGCCAAAGACCACCGCCCCAATCGTCACCCTAAGAGACAGTCCTTGTTAGCGGGTCATTCCCAGGAAGAGGCAACTCACAAGGGTCAGAGCACTGGTGAGGAGCCTGTGACCCTAAATGTGAGACTTGCTGCTTGTAAAGGTGGCCTGGAGCAGGAAATCTGTTTCTATAGCAGGAAACCAAAGCTCAGAGGGAAGTGACTTCGCAGACTGACAGGGTCTCACTCCACTCCTCTCCCTCTGGTCCCATGGCCACTATCCTAGAAGCCCAGCCCAGGATGACTCCTTCCTGTTGGCCTGTGGGTCATCAGCTCCCTTCATCCTGGCAGCCTGCTTCTGAAACAGCTCTCCACGGCCAGCACTGAGGCCCAAGCCACTGTCACCTGCCTGCAAGACCCAACCAGACACCTGGCTCCCACACTTGTCCCTCTGCAGTTCATTCTCTTCCCAGCAGACAGAGTGATGGTGCTAAATCCAAATATGGATGCTGTCACCCTCTTACTCTCTCCCCTCCAGGGGCTCCCCAGTCATATCTCCTGATCTGGCCCAACAGATGCTGCATCGTCCAGCTCCTGGCTGCCGGAGACTTCCTCTTCCCACAACCCCACTGTACTCCAGCTACGCTGGCTGCCTCCTCGCTGTTCCTCAAGGTGCCCACGAAGCACATTCCTGCCTCAGGGCCTTTCCTAGCCACACATTCTGGAACAGCAGCCTCTAGCCACAATGGGCACCTACTAACTGTTTTGTGAATGCGGGAATGAATCAATGAATGATGTCATGAATGAATGAATTTGTATGTAACCGTTAATGAATCTTCCCAAATTCCTATTAGGTGGAATCATAAGACGCTGCCATTTTTGTGGCTCAAAAATCATTGCATAGCAGTTATTTCACAGGTTCCACCTATCCTCTGGCAGTCATGCCCATGCTCAAAATCCTCCAACAGCTTCCACCACCTAGAAATTCAAACTTCTTAGACTGACCCCACACACTTCCAGGCTCCAGCGCCCATTCCGTTCCCGGGCCCGCAGGTGGGTTGCCCTGGCATCACTATCTCATGGGTTTTCTTGGGCTCCTCTCTTTGTTGGAATTCCTCACAGCCACCTCCGCATGCTCAAGCCCAGTAGAATGTCTCCTGCCACTGGCCTCTGCTCCTCGCTGGGGGAAACTGGCAGTATTCCTCCTCTTCAGCCTCGGTTCTACAACGATGGCCAGCTGCGGGGCTGCTCGACAGCAGTGGCTCTTAGTCCAGGTCCTGGCGCCACAGCCCTCCTGCTGCACCCCTGCAGTGCTCCTACGCCAGCCCATGCCCTGGCTACTCCCAGACTGCAGGTTGTGCCAGAGTGAACCCAGTCCCGGGAGACCCTGGCACTCGGAGCTTTGTTGAATCTGGGCACATCCCTTCTGAGCCTCGTTTTCCTCATCTGTAACATCTCATATATCAGCAAAGCTACAAGCTTAAATTAATTCCAGAGTTTAGGCCTGGGTCCCAGGAATGGTGTGTGCGTGCACGTGTGTGTGTGACAGATAAAGATTTGAGTAGGAGCCAGGCGCGGTGGCTCACGCCTGTAATCCTAGCACTTTGGGAGGCTGAGGCAGGCGGATTGCTCAAGGTCAGGAGTTCGAAACCAGCCTGAGCGAGACCCCGTCTCTACCAAAAATAGAAAGAAATTAATTGACCAACTAAAAAATATATATATACAAAAAAATCAGCCGGGCATGGTGGCACATGCCTGTAAGTCCCAGCTACTCGGGAGGCTGAGGCAGCAGGATATCTGAGCCCAGGAGATTGAGGTTGCTGTGAGCCAGGCTGACGCCATGGCACTCACTCTAGCCTGGGGAACAAAGTGAGACTCTGCCTCAAAAAAAAAAAAAAAAAAAGATTTGAGTAGGAGAGAACAGAAAAACCACAGGTAACAAGCCAAGCCAAGAGAGGCTCACAAGACTGAGATTTTAGTGTCCTAAATAAGAGTGCCAGTGATGGTGCCATCTCGCTGCAGGAACTGGCCAGTCCCATCTTCTCTCTGGGGCTCAGTTTTCTACCTGACAGGTGAGCCCTGGGGTGGGAAGGGGAGAAGAAGGGCAGGAAGTGAGAGGCAAACTCTGCACAGCACAGATGCTGGACAAGGGCAGAGCAGAAAACTCAGGCTCAGGCCACTGGAGCAGCACAGGGAGGCTGGGGAAGGGGCCGTGCTGGACGCCCAGTGCTGACTTACAGCTGTTGGGGTGGAACTAAGCCTTCGGACACTTTGCAGGGCTTGGTTAGCCCTGGCTTGGGGTCTAAGAGTGTGGCTACCATGGGTGAGCGAGGCACAGGGAGGCAGGTCCGCTGTGCCAAATGTTGGTCATTTGCACCCGAGATCTGCTGACCACCCTCCTCCAGCCTGCTGTGTGTCTGGGGAGGTGGCCTGTATGGCTGTGTCACTGGACTCCCTTACCCTCTGGCTTCTGTTAGGTCTGCCCAGTGGGGAGCCCTGGCAGGATGTAGAGTGAGGGGGAGAGATGTTAGTGTACTTAGTCTCCCAGCTCCCTCCCTCAGGGTCACCTGGGCTGGCTGAATGCCTGGACCACAGGTGACAGCTCCTGTCAGGGGTCCTCTCCACACAACTGTCTCCGGAAACCGTCCCCTCTTCCCATGCCCTTCAGGGCTAGGGGTGGTAGTGAAGGAGTCCCTGCTTTTGCTTGCCGTGGGGAGCTGCACCCTCCTTTGAGGTTTCCCTACTCCTGCCCACACCTTTCTAAAGTGCCCCTTTATTAAGCCCTCTTCAAATGACAGGGGTGCCCCTGGGGTGCTGGCTGCTCCAGTCCCCCAGAACCACAGGCCAGGGAAATTGGAAAGGGACCCTGGAGCAGGACAGCAGGGCCCTGACTCGAACTTTGTCCAGAGTCTGACTCGATCTTCTCCCCCTTGATTTATCTATGAGACAAGCGGGGCCTTCTCCCTCCAGAATTCCTGGGTTGTATTTCCAGATCAGGCAAAGGGGGAGGAAGAGGGGAGGAAGCCCAGCCAGGCCTAGGAGATTTGTCTTCTGAAAGGGGGGGCCCACCTGGCTTTGCGGGTCACAGCGACAGACACCAGAGCAGGGGCTGCAGACTGGAACACCCACGGCGGCCACACAGGTGGGACTGGGGACCGCTCCTGGGTCTAGAAGGGACAGCCTCACCTGGCTCCGGCCCTCATCTCCTGCTAGCATGTGGCCCAGAGAGGCAGCCCTCTGCAGAGGAGTCAGAAAGCCTGACTTTTGCATGAAATCCCTCAGTTTCTAAATACTGGGATTGGTTCAAGGAGTAAATTCATTTTAATATAGATTTAGGGGGCACAAGTCCAGTGTCATTACATGGAGTAGCTGGGAACTACAGGCATATGCCACCATGCCCAGCTAATTTTTTTACTATATATAGTTTTAGTTGTCCAGCTAATTTGTTTCTATTTTTAGTAGAGATGGGATCTCGCTCTTGCTCAGGATGGTCTCGAACACCTGAGCTCAAACAATCCACCCGCCTCAGCCTCCCAGAGTGTTAGGATTACAGGTGTGAGCCACCACGCCGACTGGTTCTTTGTTCTTATTAATTTCTTTCTATTTTTTAGTAGAGACAGGGTCTCACTCTTGCTCAGGCTGGTCTTGAACCCCTGACCTTGAGCGATCCGCCCACCTCAGCCTCCCAGAGTGCTAGGATTGCAGGCATGAGCCACCACACCCAGCCAGGTTTACAATTATCTTAAAGTAAATGAAAGGATAGGGAAAGATATGCTAAGCACAGATGACCCCCAAAGAGCTCTGTTAATCTTATCTGATAAACTATTAATAGAATCCAAGACACAAAAACTATTATAATGGACAAAATGGATGTATATAAGTAAAAAAGTTAGTAGAATAAGAAGCTAT